AGATAGCCCTTGTCCCATAATTGTTTCAGGACTGTCCCATTTGCTCTACAAGGGACTCAAACCTAATTAGTCTCCACCGGTTCATGAGAAGGCTAGATTAGGGGCACAACACCCCATGGATATTAGTATCAGGAGAAACCAAATTACATAAGTGAGTGAGTTCACCCTGGCCCAGTAGCTCCTCACAAGTAGAAGGCTAGGTTAGTCCGTGAAGGGCGTAGCCACGTGATAACCACCGGTTTTGTGTTAGAGGTAACAGGAGGATATAAAGTTAGCATATAATTATGCATATAAGTCCGGCTGCATGGTTGTTAGTTTTGTAGTCTGGCATGTGTTAAGGGTGCATGGTTGTTATTTTTATGACTCTGGATTATGTTTTTATGAAATAATGTGATATAGTGTTCTATAACAAGCCCGATCACATAGTTGTTAGTTTTGTGAACCGTAATCGAGTGTTATGTGATATATGTGCTTGTTTGCCTAATTGCATCTATTTATGATTAATATGCAACTGTATAGGTTAAGTGAAAATTGGTTACTGAGTAGTTGTACTCACCCCTCAATTCTCAATATTTTCAAGATCTAGCTTATCGGATTCGAGTCGGGGAAAACATATAGAGGCTTAAGATTCATGGAGTAATTATCTATATGCCTCTATTTTGTTACTTACATGTGTATTTGTTAATGTAATTGCCAACTAGGGTTAATTGATAGGTTTTATGCACTACTTGCATAATTTTGTGTATAACTAGTGTATTTTGTGCCCTGGGATAGTGAGCTTTGGGTTGTGAACTCGTGGATAGGGCCGAAATACTTATGCAAGTAGAAACATTTGTATTTTAGGAAATTGGAAATGAAATAATTGATTTTGGTGGAACTTTTCCTCCCCTTTTATGTTTGTGAAAATCGGGGTTAAAAGGTGATTTTATGATTTAAGCATTTTTGATAGTATGTGGTGTGTTACACAAATCTACAAGAGTTCATTGAGTGTGGTGGAAGGGTTGGTGTAAGCTATTGGTATGCATGGTTGAGTTGGGATAACCCATTTTTGAGATTTTGTGAAAATGTAGTCAAAATAGGTTTTGGTGTCTTACTTTTTATAGAAAATGAGCTTAAATGTGAAACTGGTGCCATTAGCTAGAGCTAGAAGAAAGTTTCATGTAAACACCAAAACCACCTCAATTGGACGTTAGATGGAGATTTGGGATGCGTTGGGCTATCAAATGATAGCACTAATATGTCAAATTAAATTTGTATAATGCGCTGCGGCCTATCGCAAAGAGGATTCACGCCGTGGCTTACAAGCCATAAGCCATGGCACACGTGTCATTTTTCTTATAAAATTTGTTGAGTTTTAAAACAAATTATTTAGGTTTCAATTGAGTTCCAAGCTTCCGCTTTATTTTTGAAACTCTAATTTGGAGTCTATTGAGATTTAAATTGTTAAAAATTGAGATTCCTTTGAAATAATTTTGAGAAATTATTTTTTATTAAGCTTTACAATTTAGTAATCCTTTAAGGGTTAAATCCTGAATTACCATAATTTGGAGTTAATAGCAGTTTACCCTCAAGGAGGTTACATTCTCATCATTGGTGACATCCTTGTCCTTTGCTACTCTTACCAATCTTCAAGGGATGGGGATGTTCAAGTTTTCTTCTTTTCCTTCTTCAACTTCATTTCCTTTGCCTCTTCTACACAATTAGCCACCATTGGAAAAGTGGACTAGTAGTGAGAAAAATTGCTACTTAAGCCTAAGTAGAGTTAGGAAAACTGGTGGGCCCAGCCTTAAAGGGTCCAAGCCTTGAAGCCTAGTTTCCTAATTTTTGACCAAATCTTGAAGCCTGGCCCTTATTAAAAGGACTTAAGGCTAAGCCCAAAAGATAGGTTTAAAAAAATAAAAAATAAATATTATAATTTAATATTGTTCTTCTAAAAAATGATTTAATTCAGTATTATAATATTTAACATTATAATTTAATTGTAAATTCAACATAAAATAAATCAAGGTCTCATATTATTTAGAAAAAATAAAATATTTAAAAGTCTAAATACTTGTTTGTTGATGTCATCAAAATTCACAACAAAGTTCTAGAAACAAAATATGAGACATATTGATATAATCCTTACAGAATAAGATAAGGGATTATAATTTTCAAATCAAATTGAAATCTTAAAAGTGAGTATCAAATTGACATCTTGAACATCAATGACCTAAAAAAAAGTCTATGTAGGAAGAGGAATTACCTAAGAATAAGAGAGCTAAAAAGCTAAAGCAATAAAACATCAAGAGGGAGACACCGACTTGAGAGAAGATGAGTCAAGAGATGAGAGGGAGAGATAGAGAGACTCAAAGGGTGAGTAGAGTGGTGAGAGGGAGAGGTGAGACAACTAGAGGAAAAGGGAGGGTGAGAGGGAGAGGTTGAGTTGGGAGACAAAGAGAGCTAGATAACTTGGAATGGTTGAATACTGAGTTTTTTCCCATTTGCCAAATCAAGGCTGAGCCTAGAAGCCTAGTTATCCTAAAAATCCCCTATTTTTCAAGCTTAAACCCTTATTTAAACAGAGCCTCTAGGTTTAACTCTTATTATTGACTCTATGCCCAAGCCCTTTGATTTCCTTCTCAATAATTGCCTATTGTAAAAGCAATAGTGCTGCCAACGGCAATGAAAGTTGCTCAAGCAATAGCAAAACGACCAATGCTATCATGATAGCCTCAAAACCCATATCAGGTAGCCATAAGCACATCCAGTGCCAAGAAATGTGCTTTCTAATAGTGTACAAGGCTGTGCTTGATGATGGATGTACTATGGTCGTGAAGAGATGAAGATAAAAAAATTGATGCCATTCATGATTAAGGGACCCTACAAATCATTGCTTGTTGCTTGTAATAGTCTAGGTGAAACTACCCTCATTAAAACAAGTTGATAAGTATTTTTGTACCCTCCTTCACTTAAGAATATTGAGTGCTACTGAGGACAAAGTTAATGGGTATTTTTTTTCCTTTAACCCTTATTTTTTTAAAATTACACATTTAAGGATCATATGAGGCCTACAATAAAAAGTTAGGTGTGATATTTAAAAAAAAAAAATGGTGGGACCAATAGTTATTTTGATATCAGCAAGGTGCAATGGAGTAACAATTTTTTATAAAGGAAAAAGTGAGAATTTAATTAAAGAGATTGTGTGCATGTAGGGATTTTAATTGGGGAAATTATGTTTGATTGAGATATATTGATACTAATTAAATGTTTAGGTACATGATTATGACATAAAGTGGGATTATGATCATATATGAGAGTTTCAAGGCGTCCAAAATTTGGTGAAGGACTTTGGGTAACAATTTTTTTTTATATTCAATCTTTTTAATGCGTACGGGTATGTTATTTATCTTTTGAATATGCTTAATGAATAAAAAATTCTGGTGATAAAAAGAAACTGAAATAAGACAAGATGTTATTTAAATTTTGTTTTTAGTAAAAGAAAGTTCAAGTGAATTGGATTTCATCGACTCACCAGTGCTAAGATATACCTTCAAAATAAAAAAAAGACTTACAAATCGCCTACCAATATAATCTTATGAGTCAAATTCTACAATCTTATGTGTTATCAGTCAAATCTTTATTAAATGAACCAACTTTTATTAGTAGGTATTATTTAAATTTTAATTCCAGCTACATAACACATAAAATTTAAATTTCAATTTAAAATGACAACTTTTAAAATTGAACTTATCTTTTTATGCACACGTCTTAAACGAATCTTAATTGTTATTTTTCTTGACGTGAAATACATGCAATTGATAAATAGTACTACCACCGGTTTCATATATGAATCATCCATCCTCTGTAAGTAATTGATGATCTATTTGTAGCATGTAATTCATTAATTTTTCTTCAATTTTACACTTTGATATATTTTTACGAATAAAGGAAAAAAAAGTAAAAATTGTTAGGCATAAGAGAGAAATTATCTTTTAAATATGATATATTTAATGATAGTAAATTGAAAATTTTATCTCCTTTCTCAGACAATAATAATAATTTAACTACATCTCCTTAATTACAATGATATAGCTATAAGTAACTTATATATATGACAGAAAATATATTTTTTAACCTTAGTAGATAGTTGGAAGTTAGAGGCAAATTTTCTTCGTCAATTAATGATGGAGGAAGAACTTAGTAGAAAGTATATATTTTAACCTTATTCCAAAATTTCCCCCCATACTAATCAAAGAAAGAGTGCAAATGTACCCGAAAATAACAAAATTTAAAATAAATTAAGTAATTATTTATTTCGTTTTAAAATAAATTAAGCAAATTAAAATAACAAAAATATGATAGTACACAAAAAAATTATTTTGTAAATTTATATATTTCATTTTATTTTTGTCTTTAAAATATTAACATATCCTGTGCATTCAAACTTTTATTTTTATTATATAACATTTTATATAATGAAATTTTATACAAAATTTTCAAACTTTCCATTAATTACATTTTTATTTTTATTATTAAACATATCAAATTTTATATATCTATAATTTATATTATATCTAACATTTCAAATTTTGTTTATGCATTTTTATTATATATTATTCAACCTATAAAATTTTATTTTATTTATATATTATTTTATTTTATTTTTATATATATACACGATTCACTATATCAAATTTATGTCACTTAAAATTTTTATTACATATAGTTTTTATATATATATATATATATTTTCTCTATTAAAAAATATAAAGTATTTTTTGAGAAGTTGAATATTTAAAAATATAAAGTATTTTTAATCTTAAATTATTATCTTTTTTCAAAAGTGTTTTATATTTTTAAAGAGATGGTGTATATATTATTTATGTTCATTATATCAATTTTATTGTTATTTAAAAATTTCAAGTGGATATCCTTAAAGTCCAAAATTACCCTCGTAGGCGCGGGAAAGTTTTGGCTCCAGAATGGCGCCATATTCAATCAGCTAATATCATCGTACTTCAGAGTTCAGATCTCATCCAAAATCCCAATCTAAGCTGAGTTTTACCTTTTCTTCCATATATCCGTCTAATTTCTTTCTTCTCTCAAGTCACACCCTGTTTTCTCCAAGTACTATTTTGGTTTCTTACAAAACCCTAGCTTATATCCTCGTGCATCATAGAGAACCCCTCTCCGACAAGATGGAAATGGAGGGATTGTCTTTGATTTGTGCTGGCTTAGGAGTCATTGAGGAAGATGACAATGGGAATAAAATTGGCTACTCAAAGGATGAATACTGTCTAGGTATGATTCAGTTTCATCTCCATGGTTCTCATTGGCGTCTGTTTCGTGTATAATTTTTGGTTCCGTTCTGGTTGATTCACTGCCAGATAATTTAAAGGATTTGCTGAGATTTTTGAGACGCGATGATCCGCAAACTCGAGGTGTGTTCAAGCAAGTCTGTAAATGGAACATCGTTTCCAAAGATTTGATACCCATTATCGAGCACTGTCAAGAGGATCGCAACTTGCTTTTAAATGCAGGTTTTTATCATCTGCATTTTTAGCTGTATGCGTCTTTTTTGTCATATTTATGTGATTTATGTCATTGTCGTGGACTTGTAGTGAAGGTGCTAGTGTTCATTACGATGCCTGTTGAGCCATCATCAACAGATATTTCCCAACAATTAGAGTATCTGTGGGAGTTGAAAGCTTCAATAACAAGTAGCGATATTGTGGCAGTGATAGTCTCATTTCTGGAAGGCCCCCTTGAGAATTTGGAAAGGTGAGTGGAACATTTCGTAGTGCTTTTCCTTTTGTTGAGAATGGCAGGTCATGAAGGAAAACATAATTTGAGATCTCCCCATGTCTGTTAATCAGCCTCTTCTTTTGGATACTTTCACAGTGATGCATTTACAGAGGATGACTGGAAATTAGTGCAGCTCGTGCTTTCTCTATTTCGCAATATCCTAGCTGTTCAAGAAATCCCGATGCAACAGAAGTCAGGAGGTTCTGCTATTCAATTACTATCACTGAGAGATAGGTTTCTGGAACTTTTGTTCCGTGAAAATGTAATGGACATTATTTTGGTTATAATTCATTATGCTGGAGGTTCGAATGCTTATCTCCGTCAAGATAATTTGCTTCTTCTGGAAATTTTACACTACATATTTGTTGGTCAAGAGCCAGAGCTGATTGTCAGGGCTCATCTGGATGGATTAAAGGTCAGTTTTCCTACTAATTGCTATATTTAGCACATTTTTTGGCAATTACAAGTACTTTGTCAAGGTGGTGAGAAGAACATAAAATATTAATATGCTACAGCTTTATCTTCCACTACGTTTTTGTGTCTTGCCCAATGTATGGCAGAAGTGTATATCTTGTATTGAACTTCCTTGTTAAAAAAATGATAGAATCTTAGTTTCTGGAAATTGATGGTCCAACTTGTCAGGTTTTGTTGATCCTTTGGCATTATCTTTTCATTTCTATTAAATCTCAAGTGCTATTTTTTCTTCAGTTTTAATTTGTTTGATCAATGGCATGTTACTAATTTTCTATTAGGTAGATGAAGATTCTCAAGTGTCTCTTAATAGTCTCAAATCCATTATGGAGGAAGAAGCAGAGAAAAGAAGGCGTTGTAGGCTGAACATTATGAATCGGCATTCACAATTTAGTGGAACATTTGCACGGCTTACCATGGTACTTATTTTCATGCTTTCACTGATTAGTAATTTATTGGAAGATTTTCATGATCACAATTGAATCTTGTGGGTAGGATGGTTCAAAAGCAATATTTAAGGGAGGTCCCAGTTCTTCTCATAATATTCTACACAAATCACAAAATATTACTCGGGGTCCAGCCAAAAAAATTGCATGGGATCATCCAAAGTTTCTTCCTACAAAAGATAAGATATTGGAGTCGCTTTATGGGTTTGTCAGTCAATTTCTGTCTGGAGGATACAATAGTAAGTTCTTTTCAAGTAAATTGTTTTTTTTTTTTTTTGAAATTTTATGACATGGAATTCCATTCCATCTGTGAAGCTAAATTATTCTACATGGAATATATCTTGGTGTCAGCTTTGATGCAATCAATTCGTGAAGATGTTGAGAAGGAACACCCTGCAATTCAACATAGTGATGTCATAGTTTTCTTTCAGGTTGCTGAATTTGTCACTTCATTTCAGTTTTACAAGTATTCAGCTTCTAAGGTGAGAAAGATAACCTGAGATATTTTTATCAATACGAATGCATTTTGAAACTGATAAACATAATATCATGCCTTGATTAGTGACTGTATCTGTCAGCATAGCAAGAATGGAATGATTTCATTAAAAAAAAAAAAAAGAGCAAGAGACTTTTCGTTATCTATGTCGCATCATGTGCGGACTACCTACTACCTAGAAAGTAATACCACAAAGTATTACTATCTTGGTTGTGCTTATGATCAGATGGGCCAAATGCTTAAGTTGGCAAAGTTATCTTTATTCAATTTTATGTTCCCCCTCTTTTTCCTGGAACTGAATGGTCCATTCAACAAAATTTATAAACCAGCATTTATTTGGTTCTCCTTTCTAGAAACTGAGTTTTAAATGGTATAAGATGAATGAAAAGAACATAAATAGAACCTTAGTTAAGACCTAGAATATGCAAATTTAGAAATGAATAATTAACTATTGTAGGATTTACACTGCGTGTGGTCATGCTTATTGCCTGCCAGTTGATGCTTGGCTCCCCTTAGAGTAGTCTGTGATGAGGTTTGATATGTGACAAACTAAAGTATTCTAAATTGCAGTTGAAACTCTCAATGAGAGACTATTGGTATTAGAGTTCGTGAAAGTTGAATTAGATGAATTTCATCCTTTACATGGTATGATAATTTGGCCACAGTGATTTTGGTTGCATGTCTGAACATATAACAAATATGTAAATTACAACTTCGGCTTATCTAGTTTGAGCTTTTTTTTCTTCGTTTCTAAGCAGGTTGCCTTTTTTCTATTTATTTATTTATTTTGGGAAATTGAGGCTGCTAACATTTCTGTTTTCTTTGATAGACGAAAAATGGAATGGACCTACTTGAGACTTTTCATGATAAAGATGCTCTTGGGACAAATTTCAATGGTCAGATATGTGGGCCTATTGCAGCAACCATGAATGAGGCAATGTTTCAGTTGCTCCTTTCAAAGTGGCGTCATGCTTTTAATGGTCTAAAGGAAACAAATGACTACAAGTTTCTATCAGCAGCTGGTTCTCTCATGAAGAATATGGTGATGCAAACTCTTCAATTTTAATAAACCATTTGTCTATGCTTTGTTTAGTTTGTGACTGTGTATGTATACTCCAAGATGTACTTAGTGTTAACAAAAAATGATGATTGATGCTCGATCGTTTGATAACTGTTTGCTTATTTCTTTTATAACCGTGTGCTGATGTTGCACGGAGGTTTATATGTTTAAACATACCAGATAAGTTCAATTTTATGGCACTCAAGATCACTTTTGAATTGTTTTACAAGTTTCTATCAGCAGCTGGTTCTCTCATGAAGAATATGCTGATGCAAACTCTTCAATTTTAATAAACCATTTTTCTATGATTTGTTTAGTTTGTGACTGTGAATGTATACTCCAAGATGTACTTAGTGCTAGAAAAAAATGATGATTGATGCTTGATCGTTTGATAACTGTTTGCTTGTTTCTTTTATAACCGTGTGCTGATGTTGCACGGAGGTTTATGTGTTTAAACATACCAGATAAGTTTCAATTTTATGGCACTCAAGATCACTTTTAAATTGTTGTCGTTCCAGTATCAATTTATTTATTTCCCAGTTCTTCCAGTTTGCTTTATTATCATTCTTTTGCTAGTCTTTTATTAATTCCTTAAATGGGGTCATCGCTTAACATTCTCATGTCATCAAAGTTTCCACTATTACATGTTGCTTTTGGCATTTGGATCTTCAGAAGAATAATGAGGGGATCCACCATTTGTAGTATCAAAATGAACTCTGCCAATTTTCATAATGAGGTAGTCTGCTTCCTAACTGCCTTTTCATGCTTGCAGATTCTTATGCTGGATTTGGTTATTAAGTTATTGCCGGAAGACTCTAAGGAGCCTCAAACAGCTCGGATCCTTCTTTACAAGTTATTTTATGATCAGACTGAGGAAGGGATGACTCAATTTCTCTTGAATTTGATGAAAACATTTGACACTCAGAAACAGCCCAAAAGGTTTATTATTATTATTTTTTGTTCAAATGACAAATGAAAATTGAATTCTAAATATTGATCTTTTGTTTCCTTTACAATTGGTTTGTTCTGTACTGTGCATTAGTAACTGGTAAATATCATACCACTATATCAGTTCATCACATTGCAATATTTTCCTTGTTATACATGTTTTGCTCAGATATCTTTTCTATTGTATTCTGATTTTGTTATTTCTTTGACTGAACTTCACCCTCAGTCATGGATGGCCTTTTTTTGTTTCGCTAAAAATACAGGTCCCCCATCCCCCAAAGACACTTCAAGCAAAATCTTTTTCTTTTTCTTACTTGATTATGTTACTGAAACAAACTGAAGAATATATCATGGAACTTCTATTGTCCTCTTGTTGAAAGTTGGAAGGCTAACATTTTTAAGCTGGCTCTTTGCAGAAGGAATCCCTTTTATGCTTTTTCCTGATCAAATAATTTTTCTCTTGTGTGGTCACTTATCAATTAAATGTCAACGGATGTGTATAATATCACCTTTAATTTTGCACATATAATTGTCTGTTATGCACGGTATATGATACCGACATTTATCTTGCACTCATATTAATGCTTGTTTCTTGTCAGTGGTCTTGCTGATTTGGTTGAAATTATTCATAAAGTTGTGAAGCTGATGGAACATCTGCAGGCTCGTGGATCATTAAGGGTAAGCTGATTATTCACGTACACAGACACACATATGACAGCTATTTGTCTCCCACAACTTTTGAGGTTGGTAGCTGTGGTGTTGTGAAAAGGAATTCCAGGGTTCATTACAATGCCCTCTGTTTCAAGCATACCTGAAACATTGAAGTTCCTTGTCACTGCAATTATGATCTTGTTCATTTTCACAGTGGCTTCAGATTTGAAATTATAACTGCTCTATTAATTTTCTGACGTTTTACCTATTCGAAATTTCAATTGCTTTACCCATCTGAAGTTTTTGAAAGTATAACGAAAAGTATCTTACACTAAACTTTTAAATTGTTAACTTTTAAGTGTAGCAGAAAATGTGTTTTTATTTCTTTGCTAAACGTTTTGGTCTGTGAATTAACTGTTATCAGTCTTTTCTTTCTTTCTTTTTTAAAATTTAATTTAAGGTGTCTAGAAAATTAAGGAAGGTGAACAAGAAAAAGTTGCATGAGGGAATTGAAACAGGAGACAAACTGTGCAGAGATCATTCTTGTACTGAAAATGAGGTTGGTGACTCTGGTCCCAATCCGTTACTTGAAAAGCAAAAGCAGATGCCAGAGAAGGAATTTGCACCAAACAGAAGTTCTGGCAGTGAAGAGGACTTTATTGACCCTGATAATGATAAGCAACATGAAAAAAATCTTGAGGAAGATGAGAACTCCCTGGGTAATTCGGAATTGAAAGACGCTAAAAATTCTGAACATGCTACTGAGGTCTTGGTGCATGACACAGGTGATCTTTCTAATGATGAGCAGCAAACTGAATATAATGAAGTTGATTTCAAGGTTTCAACACTGGTATCTGCCTTCGCAAATCACAATATCATTCAGAAAATATGTTGGTTGCTCAAGTTTTACAGGAGCAATTCCCTAGCTACAAATCATTACATAATATGCATATTGCAGAGGATCTGTGATGACCTTGAGCTTCATCCAATGCTCTATCAGGTTGTTATTAGGAAGCATTTTCAACTTCAGTGAGATTGTCTAGCTGCTTATCAGATTAAATATGATTTATTAATTATTAATTGTGTTACTATTTTCTTGCAGTTATCATTGCTCACCACATTTTACGATATCCTAGTGGAACAGAAAAAATGTCCATCCCTGAAATATGCAAATATTGTTGATTTTCTGACCAATTTGATTAGAAAAATGCTGAAAATGATGATAAAACAACCACTTCTTTTTGTGGATGTTCTTTTTTGGAAGACCCGAAGGGAATGCCACTACATGAATGCTGATTATTTGTTGGATGAGCTTAGCCATTTGAAGAAAGAAAGCAGAAATTTGAATTCTACCCAAGTGAGTGGAGAAATTGGTTCATCAGTTGAAAAGTTGTGGACACGTAGAAGCATAGCAGATGCACTTGGTGATGATGAAGCAGATGTTGTGATCACTCATGACTTGGGACGTCAAAAGTAAGATCAATTTGGCCATTTCTGCATGCTGGCTTGTTATTTAACTTTCTAATTGTCTCGGGGATTTGTTGTCAAGATCAAGTCAAGTAATTCCAGAATCTTGACCATTTGATTGTACTTTGGTGTTGAAAAATATGAAGTTTATTTTATTTGCTATCGATACTTGATTTCTTTTTGGGTCTTCTTTATTGGATTGATATACTGCAAATAATCATCTATGAAGATAACTCGGGCATTCTTTTTATTTTTCCAGCAATGAAGAAAAACTTAATGATGCTAATGGATGCTTTGCATCTACCTCAGTCAGCGGGAAGGGAAATGAGGATAAAATTATGTAGGTTTACAGCACTTTAGATCAAAGTTCACTTGGGAATGTCATTTCTGATGCTTGGGTGACTTGAATGTTACAGTGGGGAGCAGTTGATAGAAGATGAATCTGCAAGGGCTCCAAGGCAAAAGAAAAGGCTTCTTGATGGTGATGATAAATTTGAGCAAAATCCCTTTGGGCAGCAAATGTAAGTATATATAAACTTTTATGCATATTGAGTATTATGACATAAAACCATTTTCTTCGGTTGCTTTCTGCCACTGGTATATAATTTTGTAGTGGTTCACAAAAGCTTAGTTATTTCTACCTTTGATCTGAAAAATCTAATGACAAGTTCACTTCAATTTAGCATAGGTAGCTTTAATGCTACTACTGACTATTGCTTGGTCCCCTCTAAAGTTTCTTTATTATTTATTTTGTAGGCAGAAAAGAAAAAGGGTACATGCCTTCAGTGAAGAGCAAGAATCGCTAATTAGAGATCTATATGAGCAGTGAGTATCACTGATCTTGAATGCTTGGTTGAAAATATATTTTATCTCTTTCGTCTGCTAATTAAATGAATAGTTAAATGAGTATATCATGGACTATACTACAGTTCTGAGTGCTATTTTGTAGGCAAAAGGGATAAGAAAAATAGGTAGATTTTCTTTTGCTTTGAATATATGGGTTTTGTTACTTCTATAGGTTCAAGGACCATAGAAGATGCTGCTACAAGATAGCCAATGCACTGGACGTGGATGGAAAATTCACTTCTTACCAGGTGTCTCGTAAACTTAAGCAGCTTGGCTTATCTCTTCCTCAGAAGAAGAATTTGAAAGGCAAAATGGACCCAAGAGATGAGGATCTTCATGACTCCTCTGCAGATAGAGCAGATGGGTCTGATGACGAGACACTGGTATCATTAATAAAGAGGTAATATTATTTTGATATGCATGTGTATTTTACATTCAACATTATATTGAAAACCTAGTGATTACATATTCATGTAATTTACGTTTTCACTTTATTATTTGAATATGCAAAATGTACCTGTTTTGAGTTGTTCATCAGCCATTACAAATACAATGGGCCCTAATCATAGAATGGTTGTATTGGGGTGGAGCTTGAAACGTTTTTCATGGAATGCAGGATACTTTAAAAAATGAAATGTTGAATTAAATCAGTAACTTTAAGAGAATATTTGGGTGAAAAATATTGGAGAAAATTACTGTTACTAATCTCTTAATATGACTAGGAAGATTATACTTTAAATGTTTGGCCCGAAAACAAGAAAAAAGAAAGACTGTACTTTATACTTCCCTTGGAAAATTTCATCCTTGTAAAATGAAACTTCTACAATCATGATGCACGCCTGCCAAAAAATGGAGTGCTAAACATGAATTGTTAAAGCATACCAATTTTGTAAGATAAGCTAATTTTCAATGTGTAAGTTGTTGTATTTTATAGACTTCTAACAAATTTTAGGTAAATTCAACATCTATTTTACCCTTCAAGTATCTGTGAACCTGTGATCTTAACTTCTACAGTAACAACTGTAACATTTTGAAATTATCCAGACCTGACCTCTTGCATACGTCTTCTGGGGAAATTATGCCCACGCATTTTTTGGGATGGAATCACCTTGTAACAACTATTATTTAAATTGCATCTTATGATTTCCTTTCAATTAAAGTGATTCAACAGTAAAAAAGCATATCACAAATATAATCTCCAATATTAGTTAAGATTTACCACATGGTAAAACAAATGATATTTGGGACGGAAAACAGTGAGGGAAAGGGAAGAGAAGGAGAAAGACGGGTAGAAAAGGAAGAGCATAAGGGAGAGAGAAGGCAAAGCTTTTATTCCATTCATTAGAAAGGTCTATCAAAGAGGCAACCCTTGGCTATTTGTGGTGTTCTAGGTACAATTATTATTTAAAATAACAATTCAACTAATCCATAGATAATATGAGAGACAAGCTAGATAATCTAATCTAAGTCCTAATTCAAAATAAATTAAAAAATCCTAACTTCTGAATGAATACAATTATTACACATAAACTAATCTAAATTAACTTGTAATTTTCTTGATTATGATACATCTTTGATTTTCCATCATTAAATTGGTGTAGGATAGTTGAGGAAAAGGGGGAGGGAGAAATGAGAAAAAATGAGTGGAGATATAGGAAAAAAAAATGGATGCTGGATGGAGATGGAGACGACAATACTCACTAGTTTATTCAATTCATAAAAGGTTCCAACAATTGAGGAAGTCCTAAGGCTAGTTATAGAGTCCCAGGCACAATTATTTAAAGTAATAATAATCTATCCAACTCAAACTGTCATGAATGGTATGGAGAATAGACTCTCATCCATTAAGTAAGTGGTTGAAGTTTGATTTTCGTCCTGTGTGTAGAGAGAAAACTTAGTTGGGAAGAATTTACCTTTTGCCTTAAAAATTCCAAGGAAGATTAGCTTTTGCTGCTAGTAGAGTTATTTTTGTGTCTTGCCATAAAATAATAATAATCTATGCTAGTCCTTCATGAGTAGTAGTAAATTGGCTGAGCAATTGATTTCTCATTCTTCAAATTTTATTGATAGTAGAAACAGGATACATATTATCGTAGCTTCTAGGGTTGCTTCAACCCAAGAGAATCAAAGCAGAATTCCTGAATATCTAGCCTAATATGATACTAATCTCCTAAATTAAATAGGGAATCAGGAAAAATATAAAAAATACTGTCAGCAGCTAATTAATTAACAATTAAGGACATGGGCCATTGGTGTTGTTCCAACACTCCCCCTCAAGTAGGAGAATGGATATTTATCATTCCTAGCTTGCTAGTTAAACCTTCAAACTTGGGCTGTTTCATAGCCTAGGTCAGCACATTTCCTACTTGTTGGCTTGTAGGTACACACAGGAATTCCAGTCTTTCCTTCTATCTTCTTCATAAAATGGTGATAGATCTCAACATGCTTTGTTCTGTTATGGTGCATAGGGTTCTTTACAATTCCAATGGATGCCATATTATCACAAAAAGCTTTCATTGGTCCTCTTTGGGCTACCTTCAATTAAGAGTCTATCAAGCCATAAGCCTTCAAATGCCCCATGTGCTAGGGATCTAAGCTCTGCTTCTACACTGCTTCATGATACAACAGATTGTTTCTTACTCCTCCATTTCACCAAATTTCCCCACTCAAAGGTGCGATAGCATGCAGTAAACCTCCTGTTTGCAACAAATCCTGCCCGATGCATCTTAGTATAAGCCTCTACCTGTCATGGCCTTTAGGTATTGTAGTATATCCTGCACACAACAGTCATATGCTCTTTGGTTGGATTAATTGCAAACTGACTAACTATGCTTACTCCATATATGTCCAGTCTCTTGTGAGACAGGTAAATCAGTTTACCTGTTAGGTGCTGATATCTCCTTGTTAATACTCTCATACATGATTTATGATTCATCTTCACATGTGTAGTTGCTAAGCGAAGCCCTAGCATTCTAGTTTCTTTCAACAGGTCAAGTACAACACCACTGCACTGTGATCAAATTTGGCAACCTCCATTCCTAAGAAATATCAGTGCTTCGAGATCCCTTGCTTCAAATTCTGTTCCTAGCGTCTCCTTCAATCTGTCTAGTTCATTGATGTTGTCACCAACAATAAATTGTCATCTACATAAACCACCAAAATAGCTATTTTCCCATTACAATGCTTAACAAACAAGGTTTGGTCTGTCTGGCATTGGCTGTATCCCTTTCACTTCACAACCAGGGCAAATCTCTGAAACCAAGCTTGGGGAGATTTCTTCGGGCCCTATAGGGACTTGTTTGTATATATTGTTCCAATTTTCGTTGTCTTTGAATCCTAGGGGAATATCCATATAGACCTCCTCCAAATTTCCATTTAGGAAGGCTTTTTAACATCAAGTTGATACAAAGGCCAATCAAGGTTAGCTGCCACAGAGGGTAATACCTTTATTTTGTTGAATTTCACTACAGTTGCAAAAATTTCTTGATAATCATCCCCGTAATTTTGAGTGAATCCGTTTGCTACCAGCCTCTCCTTATATTTGTTCATAGGTTTATACTTACTAGTAAACGCCAATTTGCATCCCACTGTAGACATGGATTTGTTTTCGCAAGTTCCATTTTTATTCAGTGCCTCCACAGTTTGCCACATGAAACTGACCCTCAATATCCAAACTAATTTAATGATTGTTAAATTGTAGGAAGAAAATGCAGAACAGAAGAATTTCAATGGAAGAGTTAAACGAACATTCTACCAAAGAGAAATGGTCAAAAAATGATTTTGATGAGAAGATGCTCAGCTCTGTTCTTAGGTAAATCTCCTCTCCCACCTTTTCCTTGAATATTTTGGAGATAGGAACCATGACACTTGTACCTGACATGTTTGTTTTTAATGAATTTCTCCTGTTCCACTTTCTTCTGTCAGTACCTAAAAAATTTGACAAATAAATCTCAAATTCCTTATGTATGTTTTCTCAAATTTTGTTAAGTAGAAATGTTATCTTCTGCTTTTTATACCCTTTTTGTGCATTAAGTCAATGATTCTGTTTTCTGATGTCATCTTTGGTTACTGTTCCATGCTCTGCACATTACTTTATTTTCTTCATTCAAGTTCTCTTATGCGGCTTAATTTTCATATTTTTACTTATCATTGTTTGTGCTCTTACATTTTCTGCTTGTGAATACTGCAAAGCATGTATTTTTATATCTTCGTTGTAACATATTCCAAAGAGTATCTATATTTATTCAAAGAAACCTATGTTAATAGTAATTTGATCAATTGGTATGTGTCAGTTTCAATCCCAGATGATTGTTTCCAGTTTCTTCAGATGAAAATTTAAGATTTTCTCAATTCTTGTTCAGCTTTGGTTGCATGGAACTAACCCTAGATCCTCTCCTTCAATTATTGTCTGTTAACTTGTAGGAGGAAAATGGACAGCAGGAGATTTTTAAATGAAAAATTATATGAACAGTCCAGCAAGGAGAACTTACCAGACGTCAATTCTGATGATGAAATGCTCAGCTCTGTTTTCAAGTAAATCTCTCTCACCTTTTTATATGTATGTATTTATTGAACATGTGCATCATTAACTTTTAGATGTGGCATGTAGTTTTTTTATTTATTTATTTGTGTTTTCCTGTTCCTACTATGCGTAAATGGTTTTTTATGCATTTAGAATTAGAGGAGTACTGACTTCATATCACACCATTACATCTATTTATCTTCCTATTTACTAACAATAATAGCAATAGCAATAGCAATGGTGGTCCTACCCTCACTCTCCTCCTCTCTTCTTCCCACTTACCTTTTACCTACATCACAATCCCATCCCATCCTAGAGATCCATTTCACACCCCAAACTAGTCCCGAGTGCTTTTGGATCCACATAGCATTAATAAAAGAGTCGTTTTTTCATAACACAGCCAATTCACCTTTATGCTCTAATTTCACTTTCACTCCAATCACAAAAATGGCTTTCTTGTAGAATTGGGCCTTTTGTGTTCTTAGGCCTCCTATAAATACATTTGACCCAAACTAGTCTACCTTGCTGTACTACCTCTTCAGATTTTTCTTAGTGAAGTCCAAAGCAATGGAAAGCATAAGTTGGATCACCAGCAGGTGTTGGGTCTAGCAAAAAAGGACTAATCTCTCACAATGTGATAAATTCAGGTTTGAATTCCAGCCGAAGCAATAGGAGGATACCTATGGGGGAAAAAAGAAACAATAGCGTAAGTTGGACCGTTATCAAACATGTGATAGCAACAGTGCTTTTAACTATAATTAACTTTATGCTTTTCCTCCCTGTATGAGCATATCTTATTTAGCAGCAAGTTCATCTCTACGTTACGGCTCACAAGAACTCTAATGCTAATTTCTTGAGGTGCTGTTTGAAAATTGTATTGGGGAAAGGTAGCAAAAGAAAACTGTAGATTTATTGAAGAAGGCATGTGAAAAACTGCTGGTGGTTTTTTGCTGCTAGTGGGGAGCCCCAGGGAAACAGAAGAAAAGAGATGAAGATTGTCAAAGGTTGGGGTACACAGATTTTTTTTTTTTTTGGTTAAAATCAATAAAAAATCTTACTACACCACGTCACCACGAGAAAATCTGATTTCACCTTGAGTAGACGCTCAACTGCCAATGATCAAGAGACTAGGGGAAACACAAGAAGAGAAGAACTGAAAGTCGATGAAGGAAGCTTTGGTTTTTGGTGTATTAGCTTCTTTATATGTGTTGCTTCTAACAAGTTGGAGGAAATTGAATCTACTGATTTCAAATCGCATGCTTCAATCTTTTGGTAGCCCAATCCTCAAGACTTCAATATTCCTTCTAATATCATTGGAATCCTCGCCTTCGAGACATCTCCAATCAAATCATCATTCCTACCCTTTTTCCCCCCCTAATTCAGATCCAAGATGGACCTGCACTCTGACTTGCTATCAATCTCATTATCAATTAATTTACCTTGAACTTCGCTGAGATGATTCTGGGCACTGATTCCTTGTCTGTGAGTATCCTTGGCCCCTCTTTTGTCGAAAGACACATTTTCTTGCAACTTCTTCTAGCCTTGGCCCTCATGAGGTATCATAGGTCCAAGGTTCATACATAAGCTTACTTCAATCTTGCCTAAAGAATCGGTTCATGGTTAGCTTTAGCCATGTCATAGCCATGCAACAATGAATGCTTTGATTGTGTTATAGGCTTCCTCAAATCATCGACGTTGTGTGAATTTTGCTCACATATGAGCTCGATTACTCTCAATCTTCGCCACTTAAAACTCTAGTGTTTGCTCAAGCTTTCCAAGTTGTTCATGCGATTGCATCTTTGCTACCTGTCAGATTGTTTTTCCAACTAGGATATCATTGCTACATTTAAATATGTTTTGATGTATTTAGAGTAGTTCTGAATCCATATTACATCATTAGTTCATTACATCTATTTATCCTCCCATTCATACTAGTAATAGGAGTATAAAATTCCCTAACCAACTAACAAATCCGTAGCTGACTACTCGTGTTGTTCCTCTTTCTTCCTTGGCTTGAAAAACATGGCAATTGAATATCATATTTCTGCCTTTTTGTATTTCCAACCGGCCAAAAGTGGATTCTTGCTTCCTGGATATATTTAAAATAAGGATTAAAGAACATTTTTATCTCTGTAGTTTCCTTCGAGGAGTGCTGCATTTCTATCTTTGCACCATTTTTTCAGCAAATTTCTCCTTCCGTTAATCAACAGTGATCTCTCCCTTTTTTTCCTGATGTGGTTGGTTTGTGGGGCCCACTTGTGACATATAGACGTCTGACCAAGTTGACCATTTTCCTGCTCTTCTCCCTCCATTTCCAGCATAGGAAAATCCAGAACCCACAGCCTTGACATCTTTCGAACCCCCATCCGAAGAGCCAGCACCAACCTCACTATCAAAATTCACCAACAAATTAATGGAACCAGAGTCTGAAAATTCTCTATTAAGCATATCCAGGAACTGATCTTCTGACTTGGCCGAGCTATTAATTTCCTTAGGAATGAAGAAAGAAGCAAAAGAAAGAGAAGGACGTGAGCCCGAGGCGGAGGGGCGTGAGGGAGCAAGACTCCTCCAGAATCAAACTCTCCGCTTTTGTCAGCAGCAGCATCACCAATTCGGCCGCCTCTTTTGGATTGTCTACGTACGAACTTAGCCCCGGCGTCACCTGCATTATATGTTCATTACTTACAATTAATTAATTAACTAACCTCCATCATCATCAACGTGAAGACGAATTGAAAGTGATTAACCTTGTAATAATACTCAAAATTGTTGCTGATGTAAAATAGATTAAAGCTCTGGTTGAAATGGAACACGTGAACGCCACTGTCCAGTATCACTGTGTAGGAGGAGCTGCTAAAAGAGGTATTGCTTGTGGATTTGGGACTTGTCATGGGGACGAGGGACGAAATGGCTGCCGTAGCTGCACATGAAGCGGAGCTTGGCGAAAGCGGCAGTCGAAGGGATAGGCTTATCCTAGGAATCAGTGTTCCGGGAGCGAGGAAAGGAGCCGACGAAATCGGGATAGTTGAGATGAGGTGTTGGTGGTGGTGGGGCGAAAGAGAGCGGCGGATCAGAGGGGGAACCTCCATGGGTGGTGGCAAAGAGGTTGGGGGGGTGCCTGCTGCTGTGTACTGCCTCGAGAGAGAGAAAATTGGGTGGGCAGGTGAGGGAGAACTGGAGAGAGAAGAACAAAGTCAGACGCCCGCGTGTCAAAAGAAGTGGGCATCAAAAACCAATCACATCAATAAAAACATGGGAGAGATCATGGTTGATCGACGGAAGCCGGAATTTGCTTCTGAGAAAAATGATACACTTGAAAAAAAGTATAGAAGGAAATTTGGTCTTTAATCCTTGAAATAAAAACGATTCGTTTAGTTTGCACGTTCATGTTATTTTTATATAGTCTTTGGCGCTTTCATCATGTTCGTTCATGAATCCTACAGTTCCATGTGTATGATGCATTTAGTTTCAATGAATTCATATTTCCTCACCTGCATGCCATGTCTGTTTCTTCTTTGTATATGTTGATAATGATTTATATTCAAACTTGCCGATCTCTTTGCGTATCCCCCAGAAAGCAAAAACTTTGAATATAGCCATTAGCAGTGCACCCAATAAAACCAATAGGATCACTGTATTCCAACAAAGGAGGTGACCTGAAATTTTGACTTGAAAGTTCTGGTATACCTTTTCTTCGATTTGTCATATAACAATAATTACGTTCTACTTATAAGAATGATGAAGGACAAATTCAGTACATGCTAAACTTGTCAAAAATTCTTCACTATCTATTAGTTGGATAACGTAAAAGCAAGTGTCCGCTATTTTACAGATCAAATAAGTACCTAACCAGATAATAAGAGAAGGTGCATTGTGGTGATTGCAAACCTGCAGCAAATTAAAACATTTCTTAAATATTGTTCTTGTGCCCAAATTATAGACTTCACCATAGATTGAATGTCAAACCTAGAACCTACTTTATTTGAAGGGGGTCTAAGTGCCCAGGGACCTCGACCCCTCTTGCCGGCCTAAATGAGAGGCCGCTTCCTAATGCTTTCTCCAGTGCTTTGCATATGCTAGTGTGAATAATTGTTGATGGCTGACTAATCGGGCCTTGGACATTAATTATTAGTGGTCTGTGTAACTTGATGACTTCATTAGTGCAGTTTGTTTTTTAATATGATTATTAATATTATGCTTAAGAAGAAAATTTATTTTTCAAGTGCTATCACAATATCTATTTTCTATTCATTTAGTATAAGTGCTTTATAACTAGTATTTAAGCCTTTTTTCTTGCTTCTTGGGCTCAATTTACAATAGAGTATTTTATGCATGATTCAAACGTATTTATAAATGTCATGTTTTTTCAAACTATTTTTCGCTTGTTATTGAATCTTACGATTTATGAGACCTTTGTACAGAAAATGTAGAGGATGAGTTGGCATATAGCATGCCAATTGCACGATATTGTTAGACGTTCCGATTAAAGTATTTCATAACCCTGTGTAAGAATTCAGTGGGATCTGGGATGCATAAAAAATCCACCTTATGTATAATATATTTTCAAAAAGAATTTATCCCTCGATTTTCTGGACATGTGAATCACATATCTGGATTCGATGACTTGGAACATAAATATCAGTGTCACGGCATCACATTCAACATGTTATAAACGTCTTGTTTCCGTACCTTAATATCATTATAAGCAAGCATATGATTCGGTGAAGTTTTTATATGTACTCTATGCACCGATGATCTCAGCCTGAGTTGTTTATAATACTAGTTATGTATGAATTCTATTCATTCCTTTAGTAAGGATATCATGCAAGGATAGTTTATATATTTTAAAATAATATAATAATGGATGGCCTCATGGAACGTCTTTTGTGTTGGAATTGGCCTCTAATATTCTCTCTCTTTAATTTTGTTTTCATTTCTTCCTTGTTCAATTTCTGGATATAGGAAAACCAGAAGTTCTCTTCACAAACCGATCATTGATGAACCTGAAACCATCGAAATTCAGAAGACATTGACGAGCATTGATTCTTCTAATGGTGGCACAAACGACATCTTGGAAAGGTATCTTACAAACAACAATTCAATTGTTAGTATTAGCATCTATTACTAGTTTCATTTTGTAGGCTGATCATTGGGGTTAAACGATTCTTGATCATCTTTAAATAATGTGGAAGCATATTGTGTTGAAACTAGAAACTTTTAAAGTTCTTGGGAGGAATATAAGAATGAAGTGCCACTGATGCAAATTTGCCACCTATTTAGCTATGAAAATTGATCTAGCTTTATGATCCTTTGTGTCAATGTTTTCATAGAGCCAACATTTTGATGGGTTTAATTAGGTTACTCATTTAATGTTTGAATTAACTGGCAATGGCAGTGAAAATTGGACCGGCCTTTCAAACAATCATCAAGTAGAATATCAGCCGGTGGATGATGAGTTGATGGATTCTGAAGATGATGTGACCACCATGGCTCTTCCTGACAATGCTGTATCCAGAAGGAAGCTGAGGATGATTATTGATCCAGAGGATGATGATTGAAATGGATGCATGACCGAGGCAGAGGTTCCTTCTATTATCCTCAACTATTTACTTCAAGTTTAAAACTATCATTTTCTGGTCGCTTGACTAGATTTAAATTTGGAACATTTTTTATAGCAAAGCAGAATTGCCTAAATATTATTCCATTTTGGAGAAAATGGAATTGATTTTGTCAAACTGCTTATTAGGATTTAAGATTGGTAGAAAGAAAAATGGAAGAAAAATCTTTATTAAAATATGAAATTAGAATCTAATTTCATAAATTATTAAAGAGAAGGGAAATTTATAGTACAAAATGAGCAAGAATCTTAAACTCATATAACTAATATAACCAAGGAGAATCTCCGCTAATAAAAACAAGTACTGATTTTATTTTCCAAATGATTTCTATATGATTTGAACCTTAATATTTATAGACATAAATAACAAATAATTCTTTAAAAGATTTCCATTAATCCATAACTCAAATAACGGGACATAACTACTTGAAGGAAGTTAATAAATAGATAAAATTATTGACTTAATCTGCAAGTACCTTTTACAAAATTTAAAAGCCACTCAACAAAACCAAAACAAAAAAAAATTACTCCCTCCGTTCAAAAATATAAGTCATCTTTTGAGGAATTGAATGTTTAAAAATGTAAGATATTTTTAGTCTTTTGAGATATAATCATTACTTTTTTTTTCCAAAAGTATCCCTATTGATAATGACTTTATATTTATTGTAGGGTGTTTAACAGGAATAAATATAGAAAGATAGGGTTAGTTGAAAAGTAGGTAACTATTTTATTGAGTGGTGAGATTCAGTTAAGAATGTTTTATTTTTTTGAACTGAGGGAGTATTAAATAATAAATTATCTAAAATAACTTCAAAATAATACTTTGTTTCCAATATTTCTCTAACTACTTACATCACCCATTATCCCACAATAATCAGTACACTATCACTGCCTGGGATCCATATTTGCTTTGTCTATACATCATGCTATACCTTTTGCTTTACTAACTGGAGCACAAGCTTTTCCCTAATGTTTTACGCTGATAAGTGATAACCATTTCATGTGTTGCTGTAACCATAGAGAACTGGCTTATTACTGTGGTAGCCACCTGTGGTCAGGGAACATGATTTTTCTGGCTGTTGCAGTTAGTTTAATCACTTTTTTTTTTTTTGGGCCAGGTATCTGCATCAGTTTGTATCAGGGTACATATGCTTAGTTCAAGGCAACATCGATTTTCCTGCGGAGTTAAAAAAGCACTCTTTAGGCATGGGCTTGATCAATCTGAGATAGTAAAGAATATGATGTGTGTGTGTCTGTCTCTCTGTCTGTATGTCTCGAAGTGTCAGACCTCTCTAAGCTAGTCATAACAGAGACAGGCAATCTAGCTGCATGCCAATGGTTCAGAAATAAGACATGTGCTGTACAAAATTATGAGTGAAGGAATAATAGGCTAACAAATCTCAATGTAACTGTTTTGGGCTTTATGATGAACAAAAGCGAGTTATAGTAGAAGAACAAGCCATTTGATTCTTTGTAGAGGATTTAGTATATCCACATCGTATTCTAAGATTTAAGGCAGAAGGAGCCTTGACATATAGTCAAATTGCTAAATTTATTTGAGAGATTCAGGACCTTCGTAAACTTTCTGTAAGCTTTGTGAAGCGTAAAGATATAATGAAATTTATCGGCTAGGCTAGCTATTAAAATAAATGGACCGTAAGAGGCTCTATAACGTGAAAGTTGTGGAAACTTAAGACAATGATAAAATAAAAATATATTAAATTTACAGAGAATACATCCTCAATAAAGTTAAAATATTAGAAGATAATTAATTAAAGTTGAGTGGTAGAGGCAATATTTTGTCCAGAAAAAAGATTGAGATTGAATTTTTGTTCTATATCCTATCATGTTTCAAAAGTTGTTCCGTTCTATTAGAAATTGGGACAGGATCGGGTTGTCTTGTTGTCCTGATAAATTGGACAATGTAAAAAGAATCTAGATAATAAAATTCATTAAAATTTTAAATGATATAATTTATTAAGTTTAAAATCAAAACAATATAAATACATAAATTATAAAAATTTAAAATTAATTATTGATTTATATTAATCACAATTACACATTATGATAATAATTACAAATAATCTTTAGGCTATAAGAGTAGTAATAATAAGCAAGTCAAGTACAATATCAAATCATTGTTCTTTTACTTTAGTTGAGATATGTTAAACTAATGACTCTTCAGAAAATAAAGCAAGAAATAATATATAAATAAAAGTTATTAAATAAATAGATATAAAAATAAATTATATTAATATAATTAATATACTATAAAAAAAGACATCACCCTATTTACTTTATATCATTAAAATTATCAATATAAAAATTTTTAGTTTCATATAAGAATTGAAAGTATTGAATTATAATTGATATAATTAATATAAGTGTAAATTATATTAAAATAATTAATATATTTAATGTATATTTTTTTAAAAAAATAATATATATATATATATATATAAAATATTTGGGACGTCCTGTGTCCTGCCTCTTTTGGAATTCCTTTCCTATCTTGCCTTGCAAAGTCTCGTCCCAATTGTTTTCGAGCCGGGACGAGACCATCCCAATATGATCGGGACGATACTGGGCCAATCGAGATGGATACAAGCTAAACACTCCTAGGGAGAAGTATGTTTTTTAGTAGGGCTATATATATATATATATATATATTAGGAAAAATATAACCTTAGGTCTTTATATTTTATTCAAGTTTTGTTATAAGTCCTTGCACTCTTTTTTTGTGTTTTAAATCCTTACATTTTTGTTTTTCTGTATTTTAGTTCCTTCCATGAGTAGTATTATAAGAATCTAGAATATCAAAAAATAAAAGTATGAGGATCTAAAATACTAAAAAAAGTGTAGATACTTTTACCAAATCTCAAATAAAGTGCATGAATCAAAAGTTATATTTTTCCTTTTTTTATAGGTAGAATTTACTTCTTATGCTATAAAATGATAATTCATATGAATAGCTATCAATGATCAGCCTAAAAAATGAAACTAATAATAGATGCTAATACTAACAACTGTATTGTTGTTTGTAACATACCTCTCCAAATTGTCGTTTGTGCCACCATTAGAAGAATCATTGCTCTTCAATGTGACAATGTCTTCTAAATTTTGATGGTTTGAGATTCACCAATGATTGGTTTGTTTCCTATATCCAGAAATTGAACAAAGAAGAAATAAAAAAGAAAGAAAGAAAGAAAGAGGGAGAATATTAGAGGCCAATTTCAACACAAAAGGTGTTTCAGCAGACCATCCATTATTATTATATTTTAAATTATATAAACTATCCTTGCATGAAATCCTTACTAAACAACTCAGGCTGAGATCAGCGGCGTATAGAGTACATATAAAAAATTCACCAAATCATAGAATTATTACTTATAATGATATTAAGGTAAGGAAATAATAAGACGTTTGCAACATTTTAAATATGATGCTGTCATGCTGATATTTATGTTCTAAGTCATCAAATCTAGATATGTGATTCACATAACTTGAAGATCAAGGGATAAATTCTTTTCAAAAGTGTATTATTTATATCTTGATTGCAACATCCTCGATTTTTAAATTAGATTAATTAAGCCCAATCAAATTAATTAAGTGTGTTAGTAAAGTGTGTGGCCAAAGAGGCCTAACAAGCGTGTTTGGTTTCAATTTTAGTCCTAAATGCGGGTTTGAGAGAGAATTGGGTCACTCAGGAATAAAGGAGGAAGAAATTTTGAAAAGGGAGATTCTGTGCCAGGCACCGCAGCTTGTGGATAAGCCGCCACGGTGTATGTGTGGCAACATGCTTGGGGAGAGGCTCTCTGTGCTGTGCGCTATGGCGCATTATGCATCCACTACGACGTGTGGTCACTTTTCTGCTATCATAAGTCACAAAATGAAGCACAAATAGAGGAAGAATAAAGGAATATGAGAGAGTAGCAAAATGACTGTGCTAGGACTTAGGAAATCTAAATATTGAAAGTATTTTGGAGCTTCTAAACATCAAAGGTAAGCTTCTTATATTTAAATATTTCTTTCTTTCATTTTCTTGAGGTAGAAGTTTGGGTTTGATTGATAATGGTGATTTTTGATTTATAGAGGCTATGGGTCCAAACTCATTGACTTAAATATAATTAATGGGAGTAGATTGAGCTAAGAAAACTTGGTGTTAATGATTATATGAGGATTGGTGGTTGAGAAGCAATTAGTGTCCGAAAATCCTCATAAATATGGTGGTTAGGAATAATGTGGTCTCATTAATGACTAATAAAGGGCTAAATGATATTAATGAGGGTTAAAGGAAGCTAAGAAATCTTATGGGTACTTTTACATGAGTCAAGAATGAATCTTAAATATTAAGAAATGTTGAAGTATTAGTAAAAATTAGCTTAAATGTGGATATTGATGAATTGCATTGTAAATGTTTGTACAGTAACTATCATTGGCACCATTTAAGCTTCTTGGAAGTTTTGGAAGTGAGTGTTTGAAGGGTAAAATCTTTGACCTCTCAAAGTTTTGAGGTAATTGGAGGAATTCTAACTTAAACTTTTCTATGTTTATTAGTTATTGATTGATAAATGATGATTGAATTATATTAAATTGATTGAAATGCAAATGTGACTTGCTTTGCTTAAAAAAAGCCCATTATAAAGTGGTGATTTGATGTAGTTCAATGATTTTGAAATTGTGAAGCTCGATGATTGTCAAGTGTGGGGTACCATAATTATGAAAATAGGAGTTCAATGATTTGAGTTAATAGAAGTTCAATGACTTTGAAATGTATGAAGTTCAATGATTGTGAATGTGTGATGTATAATGATTTTGAAATTTGGAGTTCAATGACTTGTTTGATTTGGAGTTCAATGAAAATGTGTTTAAGAAGTTCAATGATTTGTAAAATGGTGAAATTTAATGAAATTGATTATGTGGAGTGCTATGAATTAAGTTAAATGTGAATTTTGCATGAATATGCATTACATGATCTTGAGAGGTAAGAGTTCACCTAGGAAGAGGAGTAGAGAATTAAATCCACGTGGTAGGGCTCCCATCTGAGTGATGACTTGTCTGGATTGATTATGTTCATATTGTTCCACTTGTTCAACGAGGGATTGTCCAACTGGTTCAATGAGGGACTCGAACCTAATTAGTTATCCACTGGTTTAATGAGGAAGCTAGTTTAGGATATATGATACCCTATAGTATGAGAAATGGGGAAAATCATGTTCCATAAGCGAGTTAGGTGCGCCTTGGCTGAGTAATCCCCTCACAAGTGTTTAGGCTAGGGAAGTCATGGATTATAAACTATCCCATTGTGTTATAGCCCATGAGTTCATGTCAAAGGAATAAGAATGATATAAGGGAGGTGTGATCATGCATATAATGAGTAAGGGAATATGGTTGTCTATATTGTGACCCTGATGATGATAATCATAAGTTGAGTCTTAATCACTTTTGATCATATGTTATTGAATCGTGTGATAAACCTTATTTGATATGAAAATTGCTAAAAAGTAGTATTCCCCAAGTATGTGCTATTATGTTTGGAAATGTGGATTTATATTCTCAAATGTTTTACATGGTTTGAAGAATTGTTTATATATGTTACTTGCATTTAAACTAATTCACATGCATTAGTACGAGTTAGTTGGACCTTAGATATTGAGTTGTTGTATTCACCCCACTATTTTCAATATTACAAGGAATAGCTCAAGAGGATTGGAAAGACAAAAGCTCCTAGAGACTTAGGATTGTGATCCTATTTTGTATGCCTCTTTATTTTTGAGTCATTATGTGTATTTGACAATTTAAATTACCAACTAGGTTTTATCGATTTTTAGTTCTTACTTGCATTATGTGTTTGTGAGTTGCAAGTGTATTTTGGGCCTTAAGGAGTAAGTTGATGTTATGTGATACATGTAATAGGGCCAAAATACTAATACAAGTAAGAGTAGAGTATATTATGTGTTTATTATGGATTATTTGATGAAATGTGCTTAAACTCCCTCTTGTATGTTTTTGAGATTAAGGGGTTGAGTAGTGAAATGGTGATTTATAAGTGTTTATTGTGATATGATACATTGCACGAGTTAGTTTTGATATTTTGTATGTGGTCAAATGGGTGTTAATGGCTAAAGGCTTATGGCCAATGGTTTGGGCATTTCGTTTTGTGAAATTTGTAGAAAGAGCACAAGTTTTGAAAAGAGTGTCCAAATTTTAATTGAGTAGTAATTTGATTATGGAACCAAAGCCATTAGTTAAAGCTTGGAAAGAGCTTTTTAGACACCTAGTTCGCATCAATTGGATGTTGAATGGAGAATTGGGGCATATCGAAACTTGCCCTAAAAGCTATCAAATTGATAGCAAAATTCACTGTAGAAGTTCATGCAATTGTGGCGCGATGCATGGTGCTATAAGCCACGGCACATGACACAGAGGCGAACATACCGTGATGCATGTTCAACGAGCTGCGATGCATGCCCTAA